AGCACATAGAAAAATTCGTAAGGTCCGGTGTTTTTTTCCGTGGCGTAGTTGGCATAGCTTGTAGCACGGTTTGCTGGAAGACGCTGGTTTGAATCCGGCAGGATCGAAGGAATTTTTTCTAAGTGTTCGATCTTTGTATTAATAATTATAACAAACTAGTGGAGTAATTTCACAAAAAAATAATTGAATATCAATTCAATACAAATGTAAAATACAGTTAATAGCGACATCTCTAGCCGGGGCTGGTAGCTGTAAAGTTACCTAACTGGGTGACGAAGTACCGTCATAGATTTCTCATAGATGGCGCTACGGTTAAAAAGTCATTGGAAAAACCAAATACAAAGATCCGATAAACAAGCACATAGAAAAATTCGTGAGGTCTGCTGGTTCGTTCCGTGACTTAGCACAGCGTCTGGCACGGCTTACTAGAAGACGTCGGATCGAATCTGGCCGGATCGAAGGAATTTTTTCTAAGTGTCAGATTTTTGTATTATAAAAATGACATAAATATGAAAAAATAAATAAAGACGGCTGACCTTTGGTAGGGAATAGACATTCTGCCTAGTTTTATAAAATGACGACTGATGAAAATTCAATCAAGAACAACCTTATTTACCGCAAATTCCGTTCAAATGTTTTAAAGTAAATCAAAACCAGATTTCACTTGAAGTTAATTGCGTGTTAACATCATATGTCTTAAAGAACGAAAGGGACAAACAGTAAAACTTGATTTCCGAGTAATTTAAATTACCATTTACTATATTTTTTGCTTCTGAACAAGCCAGATACAAAGTCGTCGTCTTGATTTAACTTTCTTGATAAATAAACACGTTTGTCGCCTCGTTGATCTATTTTTTAACGTAAACAAGAAAATTTGCAAAAAGAGAGTGCATTTTGTTCTACTAACATTTATTTTTTGTACTCTAAACAACTTTTTTATTATAACAGTAATATGGCTAGTTAACCGCATCAATGACCTGTTCTACTAACGAATTATATGTACGTATTTAAGTTCCAGTTCCGCCTGACAGCAAAAAACGGTTTAAATACGATACAAAGATCTTTAACAAACACATAAAGAAATTTGTAAGATCTGCTTGCTCGGCCTGTAGTTTTGGTTAAAAGTGGTTGCCCCGGCATGGCAACAGGCGCTGGTTCGAGTCCACTCAGATCGAAGGAATTTTTCTTCATGTTCTATCTTTGTATGAGTAATTATAACAATTTCGTTCAGATTTTTTTGCTTCTTATTTTAATGAATTCCAGGATTTCTTAGAGATATATTATCCGCTCTAGGCGTAACTTAACTTCCTTGAAGTGCAGTAAGTCATGTGTTAAATAAATCTTTGAATTTCCACAAAATGACCTTCCGTGTAAAGCAAACTTGTTTACGCGCGTTGAACATAAATTTGCGAATTATTAGCAAAACTGGTCAGACATTCTAAGCGCCTCGAACCTGCGTGTAATGGCACATCATAGACTTATTCATGTTACACCGTGCCGGGGTCGGGCCGTGCTCCGGTCGTGGGTAGGTCGTGGCACTGTCGAACGTATAATGCTTTTGTATGAACGTCATGCGGGGCACGGCGTCGAGTATTTTTTCCCGGTTTCAACCCAGCCCGATCGCGACACGTCCTAACATGAATTCACTCGCCGGGCACCCGGAGGGCAGTCAACGTTGGACTATAGTGTAGCGGACAGCGCAAGCGCAAAGTGCTCTCATCGTCAATTACATCTTTGTAGAGCGTGGCATATTCTCCTTCAGATTCTCGTTTTCTCCAGACAGGATCTACACACCATCTTCTTTTTCTAGTTTCAATTTGTGTTTCGAATACTTCGTCATCAAGACCTATTGTAATAGCTGCCAACTCAAGTTATGAAAATTGCAATAATAATAATAATAATAATATATTTATTTCAGACAACTATTTAGTCCACAGGTGTTAGTAACATTTTTATTCTTAAAAATTATGTTATATTATGGTATAATAACACAACCTTGTCACTCAAGAGAAAAATGGAAAAAAAAATACCTACCCGGCACACGGTGGAAACGACACGGCATTGTGACGGCCCGGACCCGACACGGTGTAACGTGATTCAGCCTTAACACTTAATGACCAAAATCCGGATAACCGAATAATAATTATTCACCCATTAACATTCTGGTTACAAACCTTTGTTGATAAGTGTCAAGTCAAAATGGTAACGAACTCGCAAAAAATATCTAGCACGTGATCTACCATGTTTTGTTTATATAATCAAGTAATTTGCACAAGATTTTGGCGATTTGCCTTTTGCGTCTAATTTTTGACAGGTAATAATTGAATTTGAATTTAATTGGTTTTTGATCTTTAACAATGCAATAACGGGAATAAAGAATACGCGAACCTTATGCAGTTTTAAGTAGTCAGTGTTGCCAGATGGTTATATTCTTGTAGCAGCACAGTCATTGAAAGATGTTCTTATTCCATTTATAAGCTCATGCTTTGAGAATTTAATTAAAACCTTTGTTTGTGACGGGCGCAGTGGCAGTGTCCCTTAGATTTTTGCGATTTATACCTCTGAGCGGTACTGCAATTGCTATTGACAAGAGTGTCGTTTACCACCAGCTACACGACTTGTTCATCCCGTCACTTGATATAATAGAAAAAATGTTTTGGACTCTTCATGTCTCAAAAATACGATACCATCTCGAAAATACGACTGAGTTACATATAGTTTCATCTACAATCGTGTAGCAATTGACAAGAGCGCGTCAAGTACTTAGAATTTATTTTTTTTATAAGTACTGGTGTGATTTCGACTCTGAAAATAGTTTTTCGTAATGCCCAGTCACCATCATCATCATGACGGCCTTTTTCTGCGCCATACTTGTATCTAGGCCTGTTCCCTTTTTTTTCACTCTTGGCGATCTTGTGCCCGACTCATCCAGTCCCAAATTCCTTGTTGTCTGATGTCGTCCATCCATCGCTTCGGTGGTCTCCATTCAAGTACTCGCCGTATCCTACGCCTCCACAATTCTCGCATTGTGCTCCGCAAGCCCAGTTTTTCTTCGCCACGACACCATGACTTCTTTAACTTTGGTTAAAGTGAATGAAAATGAAATTGAGGTTATGTTCCTTTAGATAATACTATAACAATGTATAATTTATACGTTGTTGACTCAAAATTGTTTTCATTGAATTTTTTGTTTTCATCATTTTCATAACTAGATGTTATTATGCTAGAGATGAAATAATGATTGTTTATACTATTCTTGTGCCCTCGTGTATTAAATACACTAAATTTGTGCGCATTGGTTTTTGTATGATTGGGAAGCAAATGTTTGCTTTGCAATGCCAAGCTCGTTTGATGAACAAACGTTTGTCTCATTAATGGATTTTAGTTGAAAAACTGAGATTACAGTCAAAGTTACATACAAACAAAGTTAGTATCTACTCGAGACATTGATTAATCAAGCTTTGACTGACAAGAATTACTTTCAGTGAATACGATCTACATACTAATATTGGGGGTCGTGATTTGTCAGTTCTCTGTTAACCAATAAAGTTTCAGAATAAAACAAACTATTAGACAAATTAGTGAGGTCCGCTGTTTCGTTCCGTGGTTAGTTGGCATAGCGTATGGCACGGTTTGCTAGAATACGTCGGTTCTAATCCGGCCGGATCGAAATGCATTTTTTTATGTGTTTGATCTTTGTATTAATAATGAAAACAAACTTGTTTTCCAGACCAATTACATGAGCCCAAACACGACCGTTCTACTGTGAGTAGTTGAGGAAATGGGTAGTTTGCGCAAAATTTCCTGGTCGTAACATCAGATCAGGGTTACTACCATATTATTGTATTGTCATCATATTTCCATATTGTACCAAATTTCAAATCGATTCGACAAGTGAACGTAAAATAAATATTTATTTTATGACTGAGTTAATTACACTAACTGGGAACATAGCTGATGATCCTTGAACGGCTGAACAGATGTTCCTCAAACAGATATGTCTATATAACAGATATATCTTAGATAAAGAATCATCCACATTGAATTAGTCTTCAATAAAATAAAACTGCGGTGATATCAGTCCATCCTTTAGGGAACTACTATGCGACAGACAGACAAAAGTAGACATGGCTATAACGGCTGTTTGTCAGTAATGAATTATTACTGTTGTGCGATTTTTCAATAATTGCTATTGTAATCTGTTGTCAGATAACCTGTTATTCCAATGTTTTGTAATATGATTTTCTCGCGTAATATGTGACTTTTGAGGAAATTAAATATTTGTTATTGTAAATCCTAAACGATAGGACATTTGATACGACACAACAACCTCTTTAAACCTTTTTGGAGTGAAAGATCTAGGGGAAGAGGGGAAGAGGTCGACCTAGGCGCAGTTACATAGACCAAATAAAGGAAAAGGCCGGTGTCGTGTCATATAAAGAGGTCAAGGAGCTGGCTTGTAGGAGGGATGACTGGAAGAGGCTCCACCGACAAGACCATATCTCTTAAGTTTGATGATGTAAATACTAAATAGTTTACAACCGCACCCAGATTAGACCATAAAGTGACTCAGAGATGGCGCAAACAAAATTAAATCTATCAGTTATATTGGTTATAGCTTGATTTTTCTTGAGCGTATTTACTTTTTTATTTTTAAGGTTTTATTTTATTTATTTACTTTTGTATATATAACTTTTACACACAAAAATGTAACTTTTCAGCTAATGAAATGCAATTTTCAACTCAAGGGCCCTGGCTGCTCGCGCAATTCGCGCCCTGTCGCAGGGATGGCACGAAAAAGCGCAACTTGTACGAGAGCGATATAAAGCGCGAGATATGCTATTCTTGCAGAGATCTCGCGCTTTATGTCGCTCTCGCGCTAGCCGCGCCCTGCCGTGCCAGCCCTATTGGTATTAATAAAGAAACTGCTTTTTGTTATAGGGCAGATACTTCATTGGATAGAGTCAGAAAATTTTATTTGAAATTTCCATTGTCAACAGATGGGAGCAGGCGCGACGGGGCCCGGAGGTCGAAGAGCCTTAGAACTAATCCTCAGCGGCGGGCTCAAATCCCTGGCGAGACCGGCGAAGCCTGTCCGACGGGCAGCTTCCAGGGATTCAGTGTTGTCACAACCACAGCCCTTGCTCGAAGGTAAAATACTTTACTCAGTATATTAATCGAATTAAATCCATTATTGTAACTACGTATGTCACAATACTCATCGACACGAAATGTTTTTAACGTATTTCGACCATACGGAAAATCTATTTTTCGACATTAATAACAATTTTTATAAAAAATCTTATATCTTTTGCCATGTTTATGAACCGGTTAACGAAAAGTGGGTGTAAAAATTAAATAAACCGTATTCATCTCCTAATTTACACCACCTTTAGAGACCTTGAATGGGACAGCTAGTGAGATACTCGGTTTGCAACAAAGAATCATCGAAATCGGTTCACAAATGTCAGAGTATTCGCGTTGAAAGTGGTTAAAAATATGAATTCTACTTGTTTTTTTTTATAAAAATGAAAACAAGATACTAGTGAACGGTGGAGTCGAAACACGATTGACCAAAGTTTACTCGATAAAAGAAATCGCAAAATTTAAATTTTTTACTACATTCATCTACGGAAAGAAACTGTTTCATTCGATTGTTATCAGAGATATTTCAATGAATTTTTCTCTCCCATTATCATCATCATCATCATCAGTCTATCGCAGTCCGCTGCTGGACACGCCTCTCCCAGTACGCGCCATTTCGCCCGGTTTTAGCTCAGCTTATTGCACCCAACTGCTGCCAGCAGTCTTTCACAAATCGTCACTCCATACGGCCAGAGGGTGTCCTACACTACGTTTGCCGAGCCGTGGTCTTCACTCAAGAACTCGCTTCTGCCAACGGTTATCGGTTCTTCAACAGATATGGCCAGCCCACTACCACTTCAGCTTGCTAGTTCTATCAGCTATGTCAATTCTCTCCCGTGTAGTAAATACTCCACGGGACCATGGGTTTATTTTACAGTAAGATAAGTATATTTTCTTCTATCATCAGCTTACACGCGTCCACTGCTGGACATAAGCCTCCCCTTGTGCACGCCAACTTTCCCAGTCTTGTGTCGCCCGCATCCTGCCGCTGCCCACCTTTCTCAGGTCGTCCGTACATTTTGCCGCAGCGCGACCTGCACTACGTTTTCCTTGACGTGGTCGCGATTCCAAAACACTAGCTTTACTTCTAAAAGGCAAATTATTAAATTTCGTGTAATAAATTTCTACGCATGTACCTCACACGCCTACGCAACCATTTATTAAACCGTGCAGAATAAACTTCAGATCCAAAGGGTAGCGATACGCGCAACGTCTTTTTCGCCCTAATTGCATGGACATTAAGCTTTTTATAACCAACTCAAGCCGAACCAACGTTTACAAGTGTGATGATTCCATAAAAGAATAAGTTAGACGATCTATGAAAAGGCATTATATTTATAGAACTTTTATCTGTGATAGAAGAACAATCATGGATATGAAAAAAAAAATTGTGAATAATTGTTGGAAAATTCCTATTTAATGGTGGTGACTTTTTGAAACTCGCAGAAGTCGTAGACTAGACATCCAAGTCAAGGAAAAAATAATTTCGGTTTTTTTAAAGTGCCTAATAATGCATAAAATTACTAAGTAGGTATATCGAGTTGCGGACACAAGCATAATAAAATTATAGGATCTATCGTAAAAGAAGCATTCAAGAAATACATCCAAAGACCTTGAAACATATCGATTTTACGAATATCAGCACTTGAGCACTAACTCGTCATATAACAATGCATATAACCATTGACTTACAATTATATGGACGACGGGTCCGCGCTAAAAAGTGTCCGAACTTATAGGGCGTTAAAATCGTATACAGAGCGTCATTCACGCTTTAGTCTTCGTTTGTTCGACTGACAGCGAAGCAAGCAAAATTAGACAGTACTGCGATGAAATTACAATTTAAATTCAACGTTTTAGCTTTTTCATATTCCTTTACATGTCAGTACGTTTAAATAGGTTGACTTGGGACATTTTTTCCGTGGTTTTTGTATTAGACCCGTCGTCCATTTATTTGTAAGTCAATGCATATAACCCACATTTTTTGACAGTATCTTTATTGTTCTTTAATATAGTTCTTGTTTTTCCTGGTCGGCAATTGAATTTTTATGCTAATGGCGGTTTAAAGTATTGTCTTTATGATTATTATTCTATTGTTATGCTTTATTCTTATTCCGTTTGGTTGTAAGCTTAACTACTTTTAGAATTTTAATTAAAACCTTGAATTAAATTGTTAATCTAAACTAAAAGCGCATTATTGGTCATTGTTATTCATATAGAAGGTTGTTTTTAAAATACTTACCTCGCAGGACTATGTTAGTAACATCTTAAACAACAAATTTTGTACATAATATTTTTACAAAAAAAAAAAAAAAATTTTTGTCAGCTATGAGAGTCCACTACCTTGTAAGCAGCACAATTCAAAATATTAATAATCCTTTTTCTTCATTTTAAAATAAGGGTTCTGTGGAAATACCGGACCAAATTACATTATTAAAAACGTGTAAATAAACTGACTTAAGAAAATTTGGACGTAGTTAAGCAAAAAGAATCCAATCCACAAAATCATTAAAAAATGAGTTATATGTACCAAATGGTTCCTAAAGTCTAACCTCTTAGATCAGCAGAACATATCCAACATATAAACATAAATATTATTATTTTTTATATATATTATTTTCGTTTTGTTATTTGGATATGATGTTAGATTTTAATTGTAATTGTATTTTCTTTTTTCCAACACAAAGAATATTGTTAAGGAAATTAAATAAATAAATAAATAAAAATAAATATCTCTGGAGTTACATGTCATTATAAGTTTTGAAAAAAAAAAAAACGAGTAAGAAACACTTTTAAACTTCAAACTGCCATATCACGAAAGTGACTGAGTGAGTATTGGATCCTTTTTGTTTGACTACGTCCATTTTAACCACAGCACTTTGATAATGCTGGTTTGTGAGTATTGTATATACATTCACCGGCACATTTAGCGAAACAAATAAAGTGAAAATATATAATAGTTTATATTTACATAAAATAAGAATTAGACATAAAGTATGTTTGAAATAAGTAATATCTTTTAACATCGCCATACTCAACGTTTATTTAAAAAAATCGAAATTGAATGATTACTTCAGTTTGACTTAAATTTGTTTAATTTAATCAAACTTTAATTAATAATAAAATTATTCAACAACGAAATTTACAAATACGCAAAACCAACCTCGAACCACACGAGACACACTGCTAACACAGGCTGTGTTAGCAGGAAATTAAAACAAATGAATGTAAAAAATTACAAACGACTAATTTTTATTTTTAAATCAGACCTAAAATACACACATTTCTAGGTCTAGCGATCAAGCACATTTTTGCCAATTACTGAAAATCAGGTTGTTTTAAATAATTTTTTTTTTAACGGCAATGATGTTTTCTAATCAATTTAATAATTAATAAAATAAGTAATTTAATAAATTTATTACAAGGTAATGAAATATTTTAAAAAATACCTTGATCCCTAGACACTTTTGTGTGTATAAAATAAACAAACGATCATACTTTGAAGAAAAAAAACTGCATTATTTTGGGAGATTTTACTAGTATTCCACTAAATGTGCTGATGTGTGTATAAAGCTTTAGTCCGCCAAAGCTCTAAATATGGTTCAGCCATATTTGCACCTTATATTTGCCTGAACTCGTTGTACAACCATGTCTTTTATTTGCGATGCTCATCGACCGGTTGACACATCCGAGTCAACCCAATACAATTGCGATTGCCAAAAACGTCATTCAGGACGTTAACAAGTGCTTTGTTATGTTATTCATTTACAAAGCAGAAACTGTCAATTTTTACCAGTTTCATGTTCTCGTATTGACCATTGTATTGATATTTATTCGAGGGGTCGATGCTCGAATAAGTGCAAGCATGTATTTGTGAATTAAGTGACAGCACCTCTCGCTTACGGTAAAGGAAACCATCGTGATTGAAACCTGTACGTCAAAAAAGGTTCATGACCTCTGCAAAACGTGTGAAGTCTTTTATACCGACGGGGCCAACGTGGCAGACGTAAACGTTATAATCGATAATGTTAATTGTACCCTTTATACAGCATCTTCCATATTCAATACAATCCCTAAGTTTGTAAATGTTTGTTGCCAATAAAATCATCATCTGTAAGCTAACAACTCATCGTCATTTATTTCATCAACTCAAACAAGATACATACATACAGTTGAAGAGTTAGATGATCTGCAGACTATCCTCAAGGTCACCACCATATTCTTGTACTGTCATCGGACCCATAGTATATTTGGAGCCTCCAATACGCCGTTCATATTGCTTGCCTATAGAAAGTCCAAATAAACTTAAATCTTTACACTATCGGACACTTCTTTGTTGACTATGAAACGGCTGCCAAAAGGTATAATACGGATTAATCTAATCAACAGACGTGTTTTTGGATGAAATTTTTCCTTATAAAATAGTGGACAGTAATACAAACTCTGCTTTATTACTATAATTACCTTGAATATTCCTAGAATTTCCTCCCGTACCAAGATACATTTAATTGTTAGCTATGTTCTACAGATTACACCAAAAACACAATTATTCAACGCTCGTGCCTACACGACAACACACACACAGCTACAATTTCTCATTATAGTACCTATACTATAATGAGAAATTGAAAGCATCGACATTTTTTCGTTATCATTGTTGAGTTAAAGTGGGAGATATTATATTTGACCGAGGACTTCATGAATAAACTAAACTTCTCTTTGACGAGTGACTACTGGCACAAACTACAGAACAATAAATAAAGTAGAAGTTAGAATAATACCTTATTGTGCTTTTTTGGAGTGCAAAAATTATAACCGCACTTAAAATTTTACCCACGGTGATATTTCATATCATCGAAAAGTTTTATTTTAAAAAATTTTCAATTTTCTGTGTCTGTACAACAAACGAAAGTAAAGCTTATACCGTTGCAATAAGGTCGCTTCTTTTTTGGAGAACTAAATTAATAACGCCAATTCGTTGTCGTTCAGCAATTAACCGCTAGATGGCAGCATATTTCAGTATTATATCAAACCGTCGTAACTTGCAATAATAGGTATTAATGCTATTGAACTTTCGACGATATGCCAACAGAGTAAAGTTTAAATTATATTAACACTCCTGAATTTGTATTTCTTTTTAAATTTGAAACTACGGCCGATCAATATCAAGATTTTGATAGATACTTTATATTGATAAGAATGTGTGAGTTTTGGAGACATCGGTTCTGATAGTAATCAAGACTTAAGGCATTTCCATTCTTCTCTTCTTGGCCCAAACCCTCTCCTCAGAGGAGATCCATTTTTGTATACGAAATTCAACTTTTCACATACACACTAATAAAATACAAATCTCCACCTACAGGTCTGCGAAAGTGCTCGACAGTCCTCGCCCTCACAGACCGAGAGAAGGTCACCGAACCGATCAGGGCGCACAACAGGCTACGGGCGCCCTCCGTCTGCTCCCGATGCTCGTCCCTGCTGTCTCTGGCCGGTGCTGGCGGATCCAGGTATGTTACTCTGTTGCAGTAAATTTACAAAGTGTTACATTTACATTCATAGATTTCCCATAGATGGCGCTACGGCAAAAAACTCATTAAAAACCAAAAACGCAGCTCAGCTCAGGGAAATCTTATGCCGTATATAATTATAACAAACTAGCGGGGTAATTTCATAAGAAAATACTCTGAACTCTCTGAAACACTCTGAAGGACTCTGGAACGCTCTTCCGCCCCATATTCAAAAAGCGTCGAATAAGCTAGCTTTCAAGCAATTAGTCCACGATTTCATATTGGAGTCTCAATCTACATCCCATTAGTATGACATTGTTATATATAAATATGTATGTATTATATATTATGTGTTTATTTGTATATAGTTTGCTTACATAAGTATATATGTGTTATATTTATATTGTGTTTAAACTATAATTTATAAACTTGTTCATCTCTGTTTTAATTATCATGTTATGCGCCCCTGTTAATTATTTTGAACCCAGCTCTCCGGTTGACTGGTAGAGAATGCCTAATGGCATTATGTCCGCCATTTGTACTGTTTTGTGTGCAACTAAGTTTAAAATAAATAAATAAATAAAATGATTGCATATCATGGTAGTAAAACATGATATTCAATAAACTTAATACACAAGGTAGTCAAGGTGACAATTTTTGCCATTGATCGTCCAACACGCTGGCCTTATGCGGCTTGAGAACCACATGCACAATTCTTAGCGTTATTTCCCTTCGCTGTCTAAGCAAGTGAATTAGCAATTTAACTGCGAGTCGAGAAAACTAGAACTTGGTAGACGGCACCAAGTTCTAGTTTTTTCGACTCGCAGTTATATGGAAGGCAAGCGTATACCAAATTACGCTATCTTCATTTTATGGAGGAATGTGGGTCCTTTTTTAATATTATAACACCCGTCTCAAGTTCTTCAAAATATCTCCTTTATCTTTGCGATGTGAAATGCTTGATCTAGTATTTTTATATAAACTAATTAACAATAAAATTAATAGTCCGCAACTTCTCTCTAAAATACAGTTTAAAATACCCTCTCGTCTACCAAGGTATCACGTAAATCTTTTTCACCCCCCGTTGCGCAAAAGTATCCTCGGTTCAAATTCTCCGTTTGCTCGATTTGCCAGTCTCGTCAATGCTCTACCTCTTGAAATGGATATCTTCGCAGTCTCATTGCTTCGCTTCAGGAAGTCAATATTGCAATTTTTGGCACATAAGTGAATATTATTTGTAATGTATATTATATTTATTTTGTAATTTAATTTGTTAATACTGTAAATATATGTATTGTAAGTATAGTAAAAAAAAACAGTAAATGAATAATAATTGTCTTAACTTTCATACTCATATCATGGCATCATCACCTGTAATTGGTTAAGCATTTTAACTGTAATACCCTGTCGAATGTGTGTAAAATATGTCACCGAATGTAATTAAGCGTTGGTGAATTTAAATAAATAAATATTAAGTTTTTTTCGGATTCGAGGAGTTCAACGACTGTGCTATATGAGTTATCGAAGTACTCGTATTGTATGATAACCATACAACCTTGTTCTCAATTCAAATTTAAAATTTATTTCCGTTACAATTAGAATAACATTTCATTTGTTTTTTATATTTCGATCGCTTTAGAACAAGTGGCTCCAAAATTGAACATAAGAATTTTTTAATTTTATTATTTCTTTCTTTTTTGTTGTATAGGTATTCCCTGGACGGCGCCGGAGGCGGTTTTGTACCGGCAGCACCGGTCAGTTGCAAGTTGTGCCTGGAGGACGCGCCGCCTGACAAGGTCACTGTCATTAGTGGGTGTGGCTGCGCCTTTTGCACTAAGGTCAGTTCGTCGACTTACATAATACTGACTGAATTAAGATGGATGAATTTGACATTGCAATACAGACTGCAAACAACAAGATAGGTGGAAGTAGGTGAATTACAAATTAATGTTTCATCAATTTCCTCTTAATCTCGAATTTAGTTTTCCCAAATGCCTCATTGATGATCAGGTTCTCACGATCAATGCGAAATAACTCCTAAAATTAGTAGTGTTAAATGTGTGAATTCCTTGTATATTTCCAGACCAAAAACAAGGTAAGTACTACCATCAACTCACATGAATATGCTGACACAACATAAAAATTCGTTATGCGATCCGTCTACTAAAACCAAACATATAAACAGTTAAAGTCAGTAGGTAAGTAGGGAAGCGCGTTTTCCCCATTTTAACAAAATGAGAATTCGTATTATAGCATATAATATGGCGTAAAGTGTGACGCAATAAACAAATATTGCAGTTTCATTCTACCTCGCGATTTTTGAATACCCATTAAAATTATTTACACTTGTATATTATTTACCACGAGAATACGTTGGTAGGCTGAATTTATGTTGCGGTGGAACGGAATGGAAGTGGATTTTTCTAACGATATTGTACGTAGCATAATGAACTTTATGGTCAATTGTGTAACGTACAAACTAGATCGAGCCAAAATCTTCAGCGGAATACGCGAGCATTCTCGAGCATGCGCGAGAATTCCGAAAATTCGCTTCCATTCTTCCGCAATATAAATTGAGCCTAAGTCTCGATCTAAGATGTTTAAATTATAAATTAAATATTGTAATGATAAGTGTATTCAAATGTATATTTACAAAGAGCAAACCCTAGAGTTTCTTGCTCATTCTTTTCAGGGGAATTTGCCTTATGAATGAGCAGTAGAGTTTAATCAGTATAACGATTTCAAGTGTAATTTGCTTACCTGTGAAATAAAGATTATTTGACTTGACTAGACTAAGTTAGTAGTGCCTTGGATGAGCGCCCTCGGATTCACGTACAGCGCCCTCTCTAGGTACAGGAGATGTCGGCTCGCCCACCTCCTGTTGCGCATTGCACAACTAGCAGTTGTCATTGTTCATGTGTGTGTCAAACAAACCTTAAATGTGAACTTTCATAAAAGGATTTAAAGTTGAAACGCTATAGGCCAAAAATTGTTTTTAAACAGATTTTTGTAAATATTTTATTTCGCATATGTCAACCTGTCATTAAGCGCCCCATGAATGAAATGGTGCGACCCTAGGCCGGGGCTTAGCGGTAAATCCAGCCCTGTATTCACCTATCTACAGCCTACGCTGGGTATAAAGTTTTATGAAGGTTCCAAAGAACAATTGAGGGGACGTTACCTTAATTCGGAGCAGATATTAAATGTGACGTATTTTACTGGGAATTAAATTTGAGTGTAGTGTTTGTTTATTTCATATTTTCATGATTTTTAAAGACCATGAAAAACATCTATATAGACACCTTAGAGAAGGTTCTAGATGGCAACTTATATCTAAAACACTGAGATTAAAAAATTCGTGTCTGGCGCGCAAAGCCAAATTAGACGAGCTGACCTCCACCAATAGGCTTGTATAGTTCATGAACTATGAACTATTAGGAATATATTCCCTACACTGACCGACATGAACTAGTTCGTATTGCACGGTTTTAATAGTTCGTCGTTCTTTTTAGTTCAGTACGTACTAGGAACTGTCTGCGTTGATAGTTTACCTGTCTTTTATACTGTAAGAAGGGTGCGAGCGGGACAAATAGCGATCTTTTACTACTTTTAGTACAAGTTCGAGTGGGGTGCACGATTGAACGTTCCCAGCTCGTTCTAAGTCTCTGATACGTATCTACATTATGTATACAAGCTTGCAAAAAAGTAATCTTTTTTGGTAGGTATCTGTATGTATAATATCAACCTACGTGTACGAGTATATGAAATAGTTGTACCTAAATATTGATTTTTAAACACACCATTCTAACCAAAATTATTATTTTGTAAAAAAAAAGGATAATAATAATTATAACAAACTAGTGGAGTAATTTCACAAAAAATAATTGAATATCAATTCAATAAAAATTTAATTAATGCAGTGAATAGCGACATCTCTCGCCAGGACTGGTAGCTGTAAAGATACTAACTGGTTGATAAATCTGCAATAGATTTCTCATAGATGGCGCTACGACTAAAAAGTCGTTGAAAGACCAAGTACAAAGACACGACGCAAGCACATAGAAAAATTCGTGAGGTCCGTTGGTTCGTTCCGTGGCTTAGTTGGTATAGCGTCTGGCACGGTATGCAAGAAGACGTCGGTTCGAATCCGACCGGATCGAAGGAATTTTTTCTGAGTGTTCGATCTTTGTATTAATAATTATAACAAACTAGTGGAGTAATTTCACAAAAATTAATTGAATATCAATTCAATAAAAATTTAATTAAAAAAAAGGATGTTTAGTAAGGATGTGTAGAGTGACAGTCTTTAAACCTGTAAAATATGAAGGAAAATCAAATAGTACCGATTCCATACAAATTGTATTTTTAAATATTTAGTACAGTGTAGTATTGACCTCATAATACTAGAAGTCCGTAGTAGTTCGTGTGAATAAAATTACTAGTTTGGAGCGTTCGTTCAATGTCCGAGCAAGGATAAGACGAAAAGACGAACTAACTAAGGAACTAGATGAACTAAATGAACTAGAAGACCGACCTATTTCAGTTGACCGATTGAACTAACTAGGATCGCTCCCTCTAAGGACTGATCAGGCACAAATCTACACACCAACCCAGTCTTTTGCGAATAGAATAGAATATACGTTTATTTGCCAGAATACAGTAATGATAAAGGTCTTAAATAAAATTAGGTACATTGTATTCAACCTGCAAACAGACGTACAAATATTAATTTAATGTTTGGTTTCTACTGTTAATTGTACTTCAAATTAATGTAAATTTTTATTTGGAAATTCTAAGTATTCTTTATTACTATAGAAGCAATGTGTCAAAAGCCATTTTGTCAATTGTAATTTAAAAGTATATCCTAGCAACAATTTAATTTCATTTGGCATATTATTGTAAATAATTATATACATGTTGAAGCAGTTTTGCTTATAAATTACTTTATGGCAACGAGATTGGTACAGAAGATTCATAATTTTTGCTCTAGTCTGCCTCTTGATTAATTTCACCACGTGTTTTGAAACATTGAGGAGAAGAATACGAGATCTTATGTACATACATAAATTACATATAGCTGCTTTTCATGGATACTGTATAAACAGAGCTTGAAATAAGCCGAATTCTACTTGGAATTGAACCCGCGACCTCCTCATCCTGCGCCCGCAAACTGTAAGGCCAGTCACCGGAGGAGAAGCGGGAAAAACTGTTTTGATAGATCAAATGGTTTAGGTATTTACTATTAAATAAAGGTCGTATACAAAAAATACACGATACTGCTAAGGATATTGTCTAAAGAATGTGCTATTGTGTTACACGATAGGATGTACTTTATCCGATCATATACAATTCTGAAAACAGGCTAAAATAGAAGTCTAAAACTAATTATTTAAGAATAAAATATCAAACTTTTTACATAATTTTTATATGAAGATATTATTTCTCTTTAAGTACTAGAGTTGCTAAATTTTGTTTTACAACTGAAGCCGTTTGGTTTACAACTGAAGCCGAAGAAGAGAAACTATTAGGGGCAATTTATACATTTTTACAATTTAAATCCCGCTTTAAATCCGCTTAAATTTTTATCGATAGCGGCGATTTAAATCCGGAAAAATAGTTTCATAAAAAGTCATAGGTGCTAAAAGTCATACGTGGGCAGACAGATGTTGACGATCTTCAGGCAGACTTAAGCAGATTTGAAGCCTACTGTACCATAAATAGGCTTGAACTTAATGTGTCCAAATGTTTTTACATGACATTCAGCCGTAAAACATCAACCATAGGCACTGGTTACAAATTACATGGCACCAACATATTGAGAGTCAGGGAAATGAGGGACTTGGGTGTACTCCATGACGACAAACTACTTTTTGACAAGCATATTGACTGTATAATAAGTAAGGCATCAAAAGCACTTGGATTCATTATTCGGACATCGGCGACGTTCAGTGATATCAAGTGCATTAAAATTCTTTATTGCTCTTTTGTACGGAGTCACCTTGAGTACGCTTCACAGGTCTGGAATCCATGCTATGAAAGCTATAAGTCTCGGTTGGAGGCAATTCAGCAGAGATTTTTACGTTATCTGGACTACAAAACTAAACAATTTTCATCAGGTTATGAGCATAGGTGTACTAGGTATCATTTTTTGCCGCTTCGTGTCCGTCGAGACATTAGTGACATCAGTTTTCTGATGGGGATCGCCAACGGTAAGATTGATTGTCCGGAATTGTTGTCACACATAAACCTGCGCACAAACTTGTTACATTACAGATGTCGACCACCTCTGCAAGTGCCGTTTGCGAGCACTAATTATAGGCAAAATACGTACACGGTGCGTGCTTTGAGACTTTATAACAATGCGACAGTAAATCATTCTGAGTTTGATTTGTTTTGTTCAAGCATAGACACAGTCAGGCGTGAAATGACCAAACGTCACTTTGACACATCACGTGATTGGCGATGAATACACTGGTATGTTCGTTTAATTCTTAGACTCTTTTTCTTTTACCATCCTCTAAGGTTTAATTGTATATTAGAATCATATTAGAATGGTAATTTTTATTGTATTTTTTTTTTTAATTTATTGACTGCGTTCTTTGTATTTTCCTGTAATCTCTTTTTGGCTTGCTAAGCACTGTATATTGTTTCATGTAGGTGGAAATTCGTAAATGGCATTGGATTACTCATATTTAAGTTTACTATAATTGTATTATTTGTCCGTGAATTTTCCTAAAATGTATAAATAAATAAATAAATAAAATAAATAAATAAATAAACTAATAATATTGGTATTGTAAACTGTATATTGGCATCTCCGTGTAATATAAAGGTTGAG